ATTGTCACCAGTGATGAAAAATGGATTCTCTATGCGAGTATCAAACGCCAAAAACAATAGCTCAGTTCTAGACAAAAACCACTTTCGACTCCAAAACCTGGACTCCATCCGCAGAAAGTGATGCTTTGCTTTTGGTGGGACATTGAAGGAGTAATTCATTTCGAACATCTCAATCCACAGCGAACTGTCAATGCAGAGATCTACAGTCATCAGAAACGCCCTTCACTCGTCACTAGGAAAGGTGTTCTTCTCCTCGCAATGCACGTCCACATGTGGCACGTTGGACGCAACACAATATTATGGAGTTGGGTTGGGAAGTTCTCCCTAACTCACCATATTTTCCAGATATGGCACCATCAGATGACCATCTTTTTCGTTCACTGCAACACCATCTTAATGGGAAAACGTATGCAAATGTGGAATGTGCTAATGAGGACATTGACATGTTTTTTGCTTCAAAGTGATTTCTTTAATCAGGGCATTAACAACCTAATTGCAAGATGGAAAAGCATCATCGATAAGAATGGAGACTATTTCATTTAATAAATGTTTTGTGTGATATATAAGTTGTTCGGGTTTTTCATCCTAAAAAAGTGAAATTAATTTCTTGACGATCTAATACGTATCCTATGTATTGGCAGCAACACAAGGTGAATCGCGTTATAGTAACAAGTGGATACACTAATTATTCCTAGTTTTAGGTACAAAAGGTTTTTCTGAAATAATATTTGAACACACATTTTTTAACGTTGTTGCTTTAAGTCGAGAATTAAACTGTGTTCACCCGACATACATTATTACTCCTTCTGTCATTTAATTGATGTCATTCTGAATGCAGCACAGAAAACATAAAAAAAGACACAATAATGGCCTCATAACTCCAGAAATATTTGTTGTAGTTAAGCGAAAGCTACACAAATGGTTACCTATGCTGTGCTCACCACGGGTATCGAAAGCCGATTTTAGCGTTATAACTCTGCAGACATACCGCTGAGCCACTGGAGGGGAGGAGGGCTAACTCCAACAAACATTTATTTTTATCCCCTAACGTTTCGCCTTATAGATTCTTTAGAAGCTTACATAAATTCAAAACATAATTGGTAATAGAACGGTTATTGCTGTTCTATAAACTTCTGCACACCCTTAAGGTGACAAAAACAGTTGTTTTCTAGATTTATAAACATTTATTATTTCATCGACTTAGGTATTATTATTACTTAATAAAATACATGGACTAGGCTTGGTCTTGGGGTTAGCGTGCTGGATGCAGACGTAAGGGACCAAGGTTTGAGACATGATTCCGCTGAACATGATCTATACTTTCGGCTGGGTCGCGCTATAAATGTGACGTGAATCCCGCTATTGTGTTCAAAGAACTGGACAAATCCCTTGTGGCGGCGGATGCTTCTAGCTAGCCGGTTTCCATCTGGCCTTGTTCAAAATTAAAGGCACGCATATATTAACATAAGAAGTTTATGACCTGATCGTGTAGCTCACATATGCATGATGTGGCGTTCAGGTTAGAATATCCAACAATATATATATATATATATATACAGTAAAATAAACACTGGAAGTAGATAAACGTTAGATATTTAGTTTTCTCTGAAGCTTAAGTCATTTTCACTTTAAAAATATGTAGTATCTTTTTAATTTCGTAAATAAAACTCTTTTAAAAGTGCTCTGTTTTAGAAAAAATTCCAGATAGAGAGTATTGTAGATAGATATAACTTATCGATTAATTTCTCAGCAAGTCTTCTCTAAAGCAACGACGGAGTTGATTTCAAGGCTAAGTCCCAGGGTTCCAACGTTTCTCTACTTACCATTTCAAGCAGTTCATTCTCCGTTAGAGGTCAGTTTGACGAATCTTCCTGAAATTTTAAAGACTGATAATATTATCTCTATTGCTAATGGATCATAATAGAATAAATACAAATTTCTCAGTTACATAAATAATGTTAGAGACCTTCTTATTAACAAAAAGAAAACACTTTAGCTTCGAAGTAAATAACCCGATAACTGTGACTGAAGCTAAGTCGATCTAAACTTGTTAAGCCTAATTAAAAACCTGCGAATAATTTTACATTTTTTATCATTGTAATAAAACAGGTTAGAAACCTAGCTCTACTAACAAACCCGACCAAAATCAGTTGATTGTGGTCAACTAAATATCTAAGAGTTATTTTGATCCTTTACACAAAAAACTTTAAACCGTTTAATTCTACTTACTTTATCGAGATATTTTAGGTTTAGAAATTCATCAAGAGGGTTTTTAAAAGGATATGAATGAAATATTATTTTTTGAGTTAGTTTCCACAAATTATTATCCGATATAGTTAACTGGCTGTGAAGGTTTCAAATCTCATAATTTTCTCGAAAATTTGGTTTTGTCACATTTACTTTTTCATCTTAATGATATTTATAAGTTCAAAACTGCATCTGGAGAAGTTCATTAAGTATTAACAACCATTTTGTTTTTCGCTAGGTGCCTCAGAAGTATCAAGATATGTATAACAACATTAAAGACGTGAACAGAAGGAAATACAGTGGTAAGAGTTCTGGAAGTAGAAACTGGTTAAATGACATTTTAGTGATATGGAAAGCAAAAAACAACAATAACAACAAACAACCTTTAAAATGTTACAAATGACAAATCTTATTTTAGTTAATGCATTTTAATTTTTGTATTGAGCTATAAATAATTGTTCAAATTTCTATGAAATCCGAACATAACGTTGTTCTTTATGGATAAAGTATAGTTCCAGCATTTAATGAAAGAAATAGCAAACGATATTTATTACTTTCTAAACTTTCATTTTCTGATCACCAGGAATGGTTACCGCTTTAGACGAAGCAATAGGAAATATAACCATTGCTCTAAAGAAGTTTGGTTTCTATGGAAACTCGATTATTGCGTTTACTACTGATGTGAGTATGTCAACTTGTGTTGTATGGATTGCATGTACTGTATGTTTTGTCGATTGAAGAACCAACACAAAAGTAACAAAACTCACATGATAATGAATGCTGTTTTTTCAAAGTTTAGTTAAATATTAAGAATTTTCTGTGTTTGATATTGTTACTCCCTTTAATTTAATGCACCACAATTAATAGGACAAATAGACTATTGTAGATTTGTGGGAATTAGAAGTTGGTCTTGTGTGTAGTGTACATATTACAACGGTTTATAAACAAGTTATCTTACATATATGATACTTTAGAAGAGACTGAAACAAGAAGGCATAGAATTTCAACGAATAGGTAAAAACTGTGAAAATTGGAAGGTGTCATAAAGAATTTTCATAGAGTAAACTTCAACTTGATGTGGTTTACAACTGTTCAGTATATCTCTACTCATTAATATAGTTTATAGATAATTAATTCAAAAATCTGCATGTACGTTTATTTGTTTAAAGATGAGTTCTGAAGTAAAATATATGAATTTAAAGTGAGAGTTAAAAGTTGGATATCAACTACAATACTTTAATAGGAAGCTGATCTGGAACAAACTATTCAATATATCTCTACTCATTAATATAGTTTACAGATAATTAATCCAAAAATCTGCATGTACGTTTATTTGTTTAAATATTAGTTCTGAAGTAAAATATATGAATTTAAAGTGAGAGTTAAAAGTTGGATATCAACTACAATACTTTAATAGGAAGCTGATCTGGAACACTTAATCGATGAGTATTCTTCTTCTTCTTATTTTTTTGTTAATCCATTAGAACGGAGGACAAGTTTATGCTGGAGGAAACAACTGGCCCTTAAGAGGAAATAAAGACACCTTATGGGAAGGAGGAACAAGAGGTCCTGCCTTTGTACATAGTCCGCTTCTGAACAGGACCGGCTTTGTAACAGATAAGTTAGTATTATTTCCTTCTTTTTTTTTTTACATTCAGAAAATAATCTGCAGCCACCTAGAGGGCCAGCGGTAAATCTGAACACTTATACATGTAGTGTTAAAAGACAGGTTTTAATAGCCATGGTGGGCAAACCCACACATTGTGTAGCTTCGCACTTAACAGCAAACAAATAACCTACAACGTTACTACATATCCAGAAAAATAAAAACATGGCTTTATTGGCATAGAATAGTCGCAATTTTCGTTATTTACATTGTATTTATGAGATGTATTTTGTAGATTATAAGTACTTATAGTTCTTACATCACCATGCCCTGTATTTCTTGCCATTGGTTATTTTGGTTTAAATATTTTGATATGACCCAAAGTACAGGATAATTCTAGAAAGTAGAGAGCGTGGGAATCACA